ATGAACAGTGTGTTCCTGCAGAATAACTTAGTTACCTTTTGAATATAATTGTCACTTCTTAATTACATTTTAGCCGTTCATTCATTAGCCTTAGCTTAGTTGTTTGTTCTTATATTTTTTGTTGGCAATACGTTCAAACCATCTACTTTAATCCTTTCATTGTATTATTTTTAGCGTTCCCGTCCAATTTCTGTGTTTGCTCGCTCACTCGATTGCCGTGCGCTGACTCTGAGGCGTGTGTGCTGTGCAGCCAGTGAAGCTAAGCTAGGTGGCTCTCTGGCTGTTATCACGTATTCTCCTAAAGGTAGATCTGCAATGCTATTTGCTTACTCCACAATCGTATGATGTTCCCATAGCAACTGCACAAGTACCCTCTGGGGAACAAGCTCTGCTGGTTGTGAATTACTGACTTAATGTTGATTGAAATGAGCACAGGTTTTTCACTGCCACAGATATCTGGTTGTGCAAGAGCGCCCTCAGTGACCTCGTCCGTCTGAATGTTCATCCACCCGTAGACGTGTTCATTTGAAGTTCAAACTGCTAATTGAAATGACTGAAGAGTTTATCTGAACAAGTCTCCCTCTCGTTTGCACACACTTTCTGGTTCCCTCGGCTGTTTCCGGACGTTACCGTAAGTCTGCAGCGTGTGAGGTGTTTTGCTGTTCTGGCCTACGAGCCGTTGTCTACCCGTGCATGCGCTGTATTCACTGATTTGATTTCAAGTAAAACTGACATTCAATTCCACAGTGAATCCCTTTTTGGATTTTCTGGAGGTTCCCATTCTCCGGTCTGATCATTTCCTCTCATCCTCTGCTGTCTCTCCAGCCATCCAAGGCTTCTCTCCCACGAGGAAGATTCGCAACTTCGAGGAGGCGCGCGGCCTGGACCGGATTAACGAGCGGATGCCGCCGCGCAAAGACGGCCAGCAGCCGGACGGCACCGCGATCGCCCCCACCGCGCCCAACAAGAACGGCACCGATGGATAGGCGGCCCCCTCCCCCGCGTCTTTAAGCGACTCCACGTCCACCCTGCCCCCGCCCGCCCCCCCACCCATTGCTCCCGCTCTTTCCTTGTCTCCGCCTCCCTCTGCGTCCTCCGCCGTCCGCCGCTAGAGAGGACGGAACGTCGTTCGATCACAAAAGGGAAAGGAGGCGATTGTGCTGGGAAACAACTTCCAGCTGCTGACAAAAAGAAATATATATATTGTGTTTTATCTGGTGAGGGGGGGGGTCTTATTAAATATATTAGATATGTTGTTTACTAGCAACAAATCACTCACTGAAGACATTTTGTCCTAACTTATACAGTACGTGACCCCCCCTCTCCTCCGGCCCCCAAACAGATCATTTTATGAACTTGAGTTGATGCAGATTGATGCCGTTTTAGTCACTTAAATTATTATTATTATTATTCTGTGTGTTGAGTGAGGGAGAGATTCCAAATACTGTCGATCCCCGTTTGGCTGTGGAGGCGTTTTCTGGCCGCACGACGTTCGCTTCCAAGCCCGTCACTCAAAAGAGAAATGCCGCATGTGTTGACAGGTGAAGAGGGGAAGAAAATGATATCAGGACAATTATTACAAATCCAGATTTTATACTTGAAAAAAGGAATTTAATTAAGACTTGTCCTATTTATACATTTTCCACCAAACTTTGATGAATCCCCAAAGATGCTGAATGGACTTTTCTGGTTCAGTATTTTGTCCGCTTCCAGAGTATTTTCTTTCTCTACACTGACTTATGAGTGACAGAGACGAGTGAGGGCTTACTGCTTTGCGTGTGATGGTAGTTGCTGGTGGTTTGCGCGCTGGTTACGACTTCTATTCACTTTGATGCCAACTGTGATGTTCTCGCTCCGCTAAACCAAAAAACAAATAAAAAAAGGGGGACATACAGTCCAGCATCTCATATTCTATCAAAAGCGACAGAGACCTGCCAAACCGCCGTGTCCTGGTCGGAGGCGCCCAAGTGCAGCCCGACTCTGCGGGGTCGAGCACGGCACCACAAACCGAAACCAAAACCGTCAAAGTGTTTTGTCTTCGGTCGTCCTTTTTGGACTTAGGAGGACATGTTCTGTCCTCAGAGAGCAGAGGAGCCGCGCTGTCCTCAAAAAGACTTGATGCTTATTGTTGCTTAGCAGCCTCCAGTGTATTTAACAGAATTCTGTCGGTATGGTTTGTGTTTTACTGTCGGGGAGAGTAGAATGTGTTTTTTGGGGCTTTTTATTTCATTTGTTTCTAAGCTGTATCAGTATCTCCATCTGCTGTGGATTATACAGAACGCACATCGCAGAGGCAAAGGTTTGATATCCAGTGGAATGGCGGCTCTTCACTGCGCGCGAATAAAGCACCGAGTGTACCGCCTACAGAGTACTGTAATCATCTCCACCACGGCCGACTCGCGCGTGCACACACACATCACACTTTAGGCGCCATGTCGGGGGACCTGCTAACGCTGGTGTGCACAGGCTTTAGTGTTGGGCCTTCCACCTCCGCTCCCCTCCGGGGCCTTTAAGACACACGAGACCAACTCAACCGGTGCTTCGACACACCTGACTGTAATTCTCTTCTTTCTGTCAGTCCCAAAAAAAAGAGGTGGGGAAATAACCGTTTTCATTCGCTTTCTCTTGTGAATTGACCCTCTTTTCTTTCTTTTTTTTGGTGGTATTTTTAAATGAGGCTTCTGCGCTCGTGTGCCATGCCACCTCGGCCACACATGTCAAGATCTGCGTGTGCGTGGATGGCCAGACTTTCAGGCACACATCAATTTTTAAAGATTCTATGTCCGTAATATTAATCTTGATATCCTAAAACTTTTGCAAAATATTGTTGTTTGCCGTTACGTTCAGTAGGCTTCTGGGAGAGCTCCCTAAAGAGGAAGTATTTGGGTTTTGTTTTAAAGTTGAGGCTTTATTGGGTGAGCCGTACAGTATGCTGACCTCCTGTTAGGTCCTAATACATATCTCGCAGAATGTAAAAGTAAATATTGTTCATTAAGAATCTTATAATAGCTGTAAAAAGGGGTGAAAAAAAAACTGTACCGTTTTTGTCATGCAAGGCCATGAAATCTTTTATGTAGATGTATCACTTGAAAGAAAAGAATAAAATTCAAATACTGTTTTACTTGACTCGTCTTGGACGTTATTATTTTACCCTCAGGTTGATTTGCATTGTGTTACCGTAGCGGCAAACCTATTTGTAGCGTAAAGATGTGGGTACAATGTGTCCTGTGTGTGTATTGTCTCTGCTCTGTTAATGCAGCCGGGTCACATACGACTGAACTCCGTGTACAGAAGGAAGTCTACTGGTTGTTTCGCTGCTGCCGCGAGGACAAAGCATAAAAAAGGTTTTCCTCACAAAAAATATATTTTACGTGGAGTTTTAACATTTCATTTTTTGCACAAACAAGGTATATGTACAAAATCAAGTTTTCTTTTTCATTTCTCACCTGGACCTGCTCCCTGCATCCCGAAGGGCAGTGACGGGGTAAATCCTTGCTCGAGAGTTGTTAATAGAGTTCAACATTACTACAGCGTGCTTTAAAACGGACCAGAAAACATGGTGCATTGGGTTTGCAGATGTCTACAGTAGTCATTGTTCACTTAAATCTAACATCTCGCATGAATGTTGAGATCACAAGAGTTTATAACTTTTCCATACCTGTTCACTCAGTGAACTCTGAGACCTGCAGCACGACCGGTGTGCCTAGATCTAATCCAGATTATCTAGCATGATGGAAGTGCTACCAGCTTGCTTGTCTTTTAAGAAGTGTGCTGATTCTGAAGCCCTTCAATTTGATCGGTATAGTTAACATATTGGATTAAATTGGAAACTGTATCTTTGTATATTACAAAAAATCTGCTTGCTTGTGTGCGTCGGGATTTGATTGCACTAAATGGACCTGAGTGACTGAAATGTTAGAAATAAATCAATGCAGTTCATCTGTTTCAACAATTCCATCCAGTAAGTATTCTGTGCCGTTATTCTTACTAACTAACCCGCCGTGTATAAAACCATACAGCTCACATTCAGCGCTGGAGCTGTTGATAGGAGGAGTAACCCAAACTCAATAGTATAAAAAAAGTCCCTGAAAGGTTCATCCGTATCCTCAGTATGCAAGTATCAATTCCAAGTCCAGTTTGTGCCTTCTGCAGAGAAGGCGGGCGGGACAAGACGCCTTTGAACCTGTCTGGATTATCAGCAGCGCCTCGTTGGGGGTCAACGCGCAACGGTGTGGTTCACCAGTAGGTGGCACTGGGTCCGACATCAGACCTTTGGTGGAGGCACTGGCCTCAGAGCCTGAAGAAGACAATCCAAAAAGAAATGCACTGGATGAGTAAACGGTTTGACGTTTATTCTTTAAACACCTTTGTTTGCTTTCCTCCTGAGAGTCGGATGTGATGAACGACACCACGGACATTTTCATAGCCTGAATGTGAAGCTTTTACCAGCTGGCTCTCCTGACTGAGTCCGTGGGTAACAAAGCTCACAAACAAATTCTGTTGGTTTAGAAGACTAAAAATAAGCTTTTAAATCCCCCCAAAAACGCTGGACTATTTCTTTGCCGGTTTAAATCGCAGACAGTTTGTAATGGAAAGATGGAGGATGTCACTCCTGAACAACTGGAGATGTACGGATGGCAGATATGGGTCCCGGTCCCAGTACCACACTGCGAGGCATACACTTTATAAATTAAACACTGGTGTTGGATCGGTGCTCGACGTCGACCGAGACTTAAAGCCCAGGTTATGGTTTCAGAATTCAAAAAGGGACGGACCACTTCAATGTGATTTTGGCGACCGGCGCAACCCCAAACTTATGATCCCGACAGGGCTTTTCCTCTGTGGCTCAAATACAAGATGCAAACACACGGAGAAGCACGTGAGATCCCATCGGGCGCCAATTGAAAAAGGCCTCGTTGTTACCGGATGAAACCGTTCCTGGTGACGCAATTAGTCGGACCAGTTACCTGACGAGCAGTCTTGTAGTTCTGCACCGGGGGCTTCGGCCTGTTCCCTGCCGGAGGTGGCGGAGGAGGAGCTCCTTTGGGTTTCGGCATTCGCGCCTAAAATTTCAAGTAGCGTTAGTGAATGCGTTTGGCGGTAAGACGGCGTGTCCGAGCTCAACGCGGCGTTACCTGCGCTGGCGCGTCTTGGCTGGGGCGGGGGACAGGCTGCTTCCTCTGGGTGTGCACTCTGTTTTAGGATGACAGACTTAATGTGCTTCGCAGACTTGAGATGAAGGTAACGCGCGACTACGACGTGGTGACGGTCACTTACGTCGGCAACGCGGGAGTTTGCCGCCTTTTCCAGATGACTGCTGCCACGCCGGCAATGACCCCTAAAGCCAGCAGGACGATCGTCACCGCGATGCCCCATTTTGCTCCTGGAATAAAGATCCGTCGTTGTTGTTTTTCGCTTCTTTTTAACAGTGCATACCTTTTTGAGCTGCTGCGTAGGTCTTACCAGGTGAAAGAGATGTGAAAGCTGCGTCCTGGGAGTCGCATTGAGGAGGAAGCCAACCGGGCTCACACTGACACTCACTTCTGTGATTGCACACCTGAATGAAGATGTTTTGCTGTTATCGCATGGCACCCACTACATCCACGCTGACCAGTAGGGCTGCTCATCTCAAACGTTTGTCGCGACTTATTTCTCAACTTTCACTCAGTAACGTGCATTTATTTAACACTTTTTTTTTTTACATTTGATTTACATCGGGGATTGATTACACCTTTTACCTAATTTCTATTGGTTGCGTGTACTCACAGCATGGCCGGGACATTTGGCCGAACAGTTTACATTTCTGTACGCCGTCTCAAGCTGCACGCACTCGTTCTGGCTGCACACCTGGGTGAAAAAAGAACCAGTCACACAGTGAGTAGATGTGCTTCTGCAACAGTCAAACCTGTGGACTTGTTTTAGATAATAAAGATATCAACGACCCTGTTACCTTTCCATCTCCACATTTAGTCCCCGTGTCCACCTGGCCGTAGTCTTTGGTGGGGTCGTCGTAGAACGTTCCCTTGCAGTTTCGGACGGTCACCATGCGGCCGTAGTTGGGGCTGACATTCCCGCCGTGGCAGAAGAGCTTCCCGCATAACACGTCTCTGCCACGGAAGAGAGGGTCAACAAAGCTTCTGACTTCTGACCAATGAAACGTCAAAGTAAACATTTGGCCCATCGCACCCAACTTTTTGCTAAAAACTCACTCTTTCTGGCAGGGGATGTAAGTTTCCTTTTCGGGACGCTTGCAGAAGGCGAAGTATGTTCCTCTGGTGTTCTGATTATAGCAGAATGATTCGCCTTCTGTGGCGTCTGAGGACAGGAGACGATACAACAGGTGTCTTTGGGGTGGTTTTAGATGGGTGACCCATCTCCTTTTATTTGAAAAGGTTACATGAACGTATAACAGGACGCTCACCTCCTCCGAACATTTTGCCGCACTGGTTTACCCTCTGAGGACACCGACCGTCGAAGCAGTACCCCAGGTCTGCGCCGCATGGCAGGCCGTTCACGCCGAAGACGTCCTCGGGACAGATGGGACTCTGCCCGTCACAGTACTCCGCCAGGTCGCACTCGTCCTGCTTCCGTCGGCACTCCGTGGACCGAGGCGACACCTGCGTGGGGGGAAGGGCCAGGGTCGGCTTGATCAGATCACATAGCGTGTTTTTACACCGGGGCCTCGCTGGAACGTGATACGAGCAGAAAATATCACTGCAACTCCAGTTGAACATTAATGTGTGTGAATGAAGATGGAGCGCAAATGAAAGACGTCAATTCAATTTCAGGGCAAAGCTTCCTTTGGAAAGATGCAGTTGGAGCCCATACATTTCTGGACAACCATGTCACCACTTTATCCGTGCAGAAACATGCCGATAAAGGGAAATATTGGGGGAGGTGTTTTAAGATGGGAGCTTCAAATGAGCCATTCGGGTACCATCTGTGCCATTAGAACCGTTGGTGTCTTTCAATTTCACCTACATGTTACTACGCACAGCAAAAAACAATCACTCCTCTATTCATATTCCCATCAGAAGCAAAACGTAACCCAGTGTGGGCAGTGGATGAAGACAGGGCTCGTTACTCAGCGCGTCTAATGGATTGAGTTTTGTTTAAGTAGAAAGGTTTTCTCATGAGCTTTTACCGGAGCTTTTCTGGCCTTCTCACATAAGTCTGACTACTGCTCTTTGTTATGTTCACCTGTTGGCCTTTTATTCTGTGTGGATAAACACGTTGAGGTGTTTCCTCTCGGTGTAGGTGCAGGGGAAGTTTCATGGTTCCGCATTACAAGGCCAGGATTGTCACGTTGTTGCTTTATAAGTTTTATCAGATTTTCCCGATAACTGCCTCAGAAATGCTCACTTATTGAATAAGGTACGGTCACATGGTTGTTGAAAACGAGCTGGATTTGATGCAAGAAGCCTGTGACTCACTAGAGGGCGGCAGCGAATCAAACAACATCTGTTGGCTCACATCTGCTCACCTTACAGTCCTCGCAGCACTCGCCCTCTGCACACTGGGCCCCCTCCTTCAGGGTGCAGATTGTGGCGTTGCAGCACAGGTTAGTGCACTCCTGCAGGGGGGGGGCAGAGAACTCATTAGGCTGTAGTTCATCAATGTTGTGTTTTCAGTGAGTTGCATGTGTTTTATTTTATTTTTTAAAACAGTGATTATTAGGCCTGTGGAGACTTTCCATTAGCTGTCACAGAATTTGATCAAAGTCGACCGTTTTTGACAACTAATGCTTGGTTGAAATGTTGTGGTATTTCTTTATTACTTGATTAGTATGAGACTGTATGCGGCTGACAAATCTATTGATTAAAGGGTATGAATCTTCAGCAAGAAAGGCACCTTAGAGGCACGACATTTGTTTTTGTCCAAAGTTGGGGGGGGCGAGGAGCAACTGAACCCATTCAGAGAAGGAGCTTGTTGTTCCTCCCCTGAATGCCTGTAGAAGCTGAATCAAGCTAAGAAGGGCCTCAGGAGGGGCTCGCTCTCCTCAGGCCCTGAGGCAGACAAGGGGCGGTCAGACGCTACGTCTGTCCTCCCTGTTGAACCGCAGCCGGGCGTGTTAATGACCCGGGCGCTTTGGGGAGGATTAAACTGGTTGTTTCACCGTCTCGCTGCCACAGTCGCACTGTTCTCCTTTTTCCAGGAAGCCGTTCCCGCAGACGGAGGGGGGCAGCAGGTCGCTGAAGTCCGGTTTGTCCAGCAGGCATTCGGGGTTGCGGCCCAGCAGGTATTTCTCGTATTCGTTCCCGCTGCAGCTGCTAAAAGTCCGAGGGATATTCCAGCTGAGAAGAAGAGACAAGACCTTTGACTTCCGACAGTCCAAAGTCGCATTCTTTGAACTACAACAAGACAAATAAAGTTCATTTTTCATGGTGTAATGCGCCACGTCCGCTTCAACTTTTAGAACTTGATCATAGCCGCCAGGACGCAGCGAGGGGGGGTCCATGTGTTCTTCTGTTAAGCCCTGTTTATTAAAACGTCCCCCTAAATCATTTCATACCTTTAAATATTGCAATGGATTTAAAACAAAGAAGAAGGATAGGCGGGTTAGGGTCCTTTACTGAAATATCATCAATTTGATGCCTTACTTGTCAAACTTGGCCACACCCACAATGCAACTTGTTTGGTAGAGCTCTACCTCACATGCTTCTTTCTCTTTTCCTTATTGTAGCTTGTGATTACAGACCCACCACTCATGTTTGCTTCATATTGCTGCACACCAACTGGTGAGTTGTGGTGAGGTGGTGTAGACTTAAGGTTGTACCACACGTCGGTCGTAGTATTTTGATGTAGTTTATTCAGCAACTGTTCCTACCTGAGTGCTGCAGCCATGATGCAGCTATCAGCAGAACAAGCACAGGTGATGGAGTCGTCGTGGTCCATGCCCAGGTTATGGCCCATCTCGTGAGCCATGGTGGCCCCCACTGCTATGGCCCGGTCATTGTGGTCCTGAGGGATGGAACGCTTTCATTTTAGTCCCTTTTATCGCCATTTCACACTTTTCCTCATTCTGCTGTGATTTCTTTTTGTGACCACAGCAATGTTCCCGTGGCAGAGTCTAGACACATGCTTAAGTTGCACTTAATCTTTATGTTAAAATTGAACAGTGGCTCTGAGGCTGTACTTTAGTCCAGGCATTTCACCTAGAATGTGTAGGTTGATCACGCAAATCACAAAATAAAACAAAATCAATGGATTTTTGTCCTTTATATGTTATACACGAGGAAACAAAAAGGCCGGAAGGAATGTTTTGAAAATCATCTAAATATAATGGTGGCCAAATGGCACTTTCAGTCATGCTTTGGTCCCATTACAAGCCTTTATGGAGTCTTCTGTTGCTCAGAGATTTTTTATTTGTGAAAGACGCCATTTGTTTGATTTATGTGAAGTCAATTGACATTATATTATAAAGCACAGAACTTGTTGAGATTTCTCAGTCTGGAGCTAATTGGTGGACTGACATTGCCATGGCTAAATATTTCATTCCCTGGTTGCTATGGTTGCACGCAGGCTGGACCGCAGAGTGTCTCGTAGGAGCAGCAGCCCAGCACCTCACCTGAATCACTCCAACAGAGTGACCCGAGCAGAGAGTCCCGATGTACGCCAGTCCCACGGTGGCTCCTTCAAAGTCAATACCGCTGAAAGACGAGCAATGAAATCAATCGCCACGTCCACATTAACTGGCATCATGTGGATTCTTCAGTGCTGATAAAGTAAGCAAATATCTTAGTGGTAGTTTACACTGTTCCAAGTAGTCAGTTTGTATACAGGGAGGAGAGTGTGACATTTACCGGATGGGCTGGCACTTCCTGTAAGCAAGCGGTAACTTTCATTTACGGTAGGTGTTGGTTCAACTTATGGAGGTTACACTTCCTCCTGATAGGAGTTGGCAGGCTGTTGTCTGAGGGCTCCTCAATGCCATGTAGAGGAAACTGTGAGCAACTGTCCAAATAATGGCTTTCTATGCATGTGATGAACGCAAACATTATCTATGACAGCAAATGTTAAAAGCCGACCATTGTCCAAAGTGCAGAGACAGGAAAGCTGCACGGGCCTGATGTGGAAACTTCCAGTACATGAGGCTCATTGTGCATCAAGAACCGATGAACCAAAGTGCATTCATCTTGTTACACTCGTAGACAAAAGACAGAAATGGCAGCTTCCTTCTATCTATCACGAGATAGAAGATAAGAAACTGAATGATGTGTTAATGCTGTGGCCTGACCCCCCCCACCAAACTTTTGATCCCGAGAGCATTTTAAACTCTTGATTTTCAATAATTAGGACCGTCCAGACCTGATGAATTGTGCGTTGTCATGCTGTTTCCTTTTCAGAAGCTCAGAGTTCCTCCACATCATGAAAGCGTTCAGGTTGGCCCCGGCCGGGGGGGTCACGGTGAACAAGTCCCGTTCGGACCAGATTTCCAGCCCCACCAAAGCGATGAAGGTCCTCAGTGGCTTGTACGCCTGCAAGCAAGCAGGTGTTCACAGTTACCTTTATTCAAATGAGGAGACATGGTCACCCTCCAAATGCAATAACAATAGACATTTCCTATATCTATTATCTACATGGAGACTGAATGTCGTCATAATAAATACCCGTATATTCCTGCTGATGGTGGCTATGTGTCATTTGGGGTTCAGAATATGCCCAGAAATCACTGACTCACCATGTTGATGAAGTTGACAATTTCAAATATCCTCTTCCTCAGCCGCGTCTGATCTCGCTCCATCTTCACGTACTGAAACCACGCGTCGGCATGTTACAGCACACTCACGTCCTGTTTCTCACCAGTTGATGATTATAAATCACCCAATGATTCATCTTGGACTTTGCTCCAAAAAATACCAATGTGTGATTTGTTCAAGATCCAAAACGTTTGCCAACATTAGAAAGATAAGTTTAGTCACGTCACTCACAGAAACTGTGCTAAATTAGAAACAGAATGACTTCATATGTGTTGCTTACCGCCCGATTGTCAGCAACAATGAAGAGCTCAATGTATTTTTGTTTCTGGGTGATAGATATTGTCTGGAGGAAAAAAAGAACAAAGCAGGTCACATCTTGTTGAGCTTTCAAACGATGAGATGTGTCTCATCTCGTAATGAATGAGAAGATGTTTTGGCTTCGACGGCGCTCACCCGTGACTTGGAGCGGCTCTGGCTCGTGGGGGGTTCGTAGTCGTCGCTCCAGCTGGTGTTGGTGACGCCGCACACAGCGGGGGGGGAGTTCTTTTCCTCAAAGGTCATCACCGCGTGGTCCCCCCCGTCGCCGCCGGACAGGGGCTCGATCAGGTACCTCTGGGCCGACGTTCTGAAGTAGCCCCTTCAACGTGATCACGCCAGTTAGTCGCTGAGGTGAACGCGCAGCGAGGGGGGGCCGAAAACGCCTGTTTCTCCTCAACATTAACTTCAAATTGTAAAGATCATTCAAAATCATAATAAATAAGGTCAGTTAAATAATTGGTTGCAACCTTGAAGTGAAGATAATTCAATAATTTATTAACTTGGGACCCTTTTCTCCAATAATAGACATCTGAAATAAAGCAGGGCTCATTGAATACACACTGCTTTCTGTAAGTGGTCACAAGCCGAGAAGGTTGGGTGACGCCATTTCACTTTGTTTGCTAACTGTAAATTCCCTGGCTTCACCCGTTGAGGTTTAATCAAACACCAGCTGCTTGTGTCCTTATCTTGAGATAACGTGTCGGACTGGCAGGTAAAGTCAAAGGGAGGCGGTTTCGAGGGCCTCACCTGAGTCCATCACAGGTGCTGATGCTGACGGATGACTGGCTGTCGTTCACAATGCTCCCATGATAGTAGCAGTGGTCCTGACACAGACGCACGGACAGGAACGGCGTCAGCAAATAAAGGCATCCAGACATGAGGCTTAATGTGGTTTCAGCAGAGCATAGACGGGGGGGGGGGCGCTGCGTGTACTCTGAGGTAAGTCACATCTCACGCACAGGAGAACTGAAACTCAAAGGCGCGGAACTCACGATGTCATCCGGCGCCGCGGTGACCCGAGTCCCGTCGGCTTGGTAATACGTCTCTGTGTAGTCTTTGGTGAGTAATTCGCTGATGATGGAAAGAGGATTTGGGTTAAAACACAGCAATTGTTAGGAATGAGCAAATGAAACATTTAATGTGAAATGGGATTCTGAGGCTGCAGGAATCTGTTGTTACAGCGGAAATATCGATGGCATGAAAACCGCAGGGATTATGACAAAAGAAAAGAGAAGTAAAACCAGCAAGTGTCCCTGACACATTGCTTCACACATTGATGTTACACACAAATTCAATCCATCAGGGATTTATTGACTTACTGGTTTCTTTTTAGTCGCATTTCGATGTCTCTGCCTCCCAGCGTCATGGCGTAGCGGACAGTTTCTGGCCGGAGATGCTGAGCAAAGGAAAGGTTCATTCTTATTTTCCTGTGACTGACCACGGCAACGGCAGCTCAAACGTGTCTGTATCATTTGAAAAGATGAAAAGCACCTCTGCATGCCGTCTTCTAACCGAGTGGAGTCTGACTGGTCGGACCACCTCGTAGTCCTTCACGTCTTCAAGGTCGTGCCCCCGGCTCTCTGCGGGGATACAACACACATTGTGTCCCTGAGTGATGGGAAGGTTTACTGTCTGAACCGCGTCGCGCAGGAGGAAGGATTCGAGAGGACAGTGTTTTCGTTGTTTGTGTGTCTGTTGGTTTGTGGCAGGTTGCAACCAACGAAATCACCCTCAGTTCCCCCCTTTACAAGCACGGGACGTTTATGAGGAACGGAGAACACAGATCCCTCAGTCCTCTGTCCTTCCCTCAGCCTTCTGTCCTCCCCTCAGCCTTCTGTCCTCCCCTCAGCCTTCTGTCCTCCCCTCAGTCCTCTGTCCTTCCCTCAGTCCTCTGTCCTTCCCTCAGTCCTCTGTCCTCCCCTCAGCCTTCTGTCTTTCCCTCAGTCTTCTGTCTCAGTTCATGTCTTTGTGTGTGTGTAGTGTAGCAGAGCAGATGCTCACTGCTGGGTGATGCACTCGGACAGTGTCTTTGAAAAGTAATGCAGGAGACGGCAGGGGGGGAAACATCTGGCCCATCTGTCCGAAGGCAAAAAGAATCAGCCCACGTTTACCTGTGCTGATAACAAAGTGACACGTCCCACCGTGTCTGTGCAGCGTGGGCTTAGACGCCACGTGTTCAGACACATATTTCCTAAAGGGAAAGAATGTAAATAGCTGATTGTCAAACTATTCATCTTCACAAATTAGGTAAAATTTCATAAAAGTAGCAAAAGTGAGGGCAGCATATGAGCAGTCTGACGGACCACCTGTGACCACATCTGCATACTGGATGACGCCCATTACAGACTGAATCCTTTCAGACTCAAACTAGAGAGAGGGGAAGTTATTCATGGCAGCTTTCACCACAGATCACACATTAACTCGGGCTACATTATTGCCAAACTGTTACAAAACCTTTTGCTCAAACACACACAATCCTGAAGCCCGAACAGTAATTATGTTTGTTTCTTCTGTTGCAGCTTGTTACCGACCGATGACACATTGATATGAGACGTGAACGGTATCGACACACTGCCTGAAGGTGGATATTAGTGACGGGGCCCTTTGATAATGAGCAGAAACAATAAAGGCTTTGTGAGACAACCGTGGATGCCCGGTCAGACTAATGGAGTCAGACTGTATTCTGGTGGTATGATGAGGCACACATTAGATTGTCCACCGGCAATGTGGGAGGCACGTCCCCTTCTTTCTTCGTCTCCATCATTCCAGCTTCTAAAGCTTCTCCCACCACTTCTCGTTCCTAAACAGTTGAACAAGCAGTTCTGCAGTCACGCCGCAATTTCTTCATAATTTGCTTGTGAAGGTTTTGTGTGCGAAGTGTTTCCCCCGAAAACGCCATCGAGTGGAACACAAATCAAAGGGGAGGCAGGGAAGCACGCAGCTCCTTGTAAAGGTGCAAATGTAACATCACCTCTATCAATGAAACTACAGGGTTCGTAGTGGAATTACTGCATGAACTCCAATGAGTAATGTAACCAAAATAGGTTAGAAAAAGGCAACAAAAGGGAGCAAAATAAAACTTGTTCTGTGTCTATGCGTTCTCTGCAGATTTCACAAGTTCCTGATTTGGAACTTGTGGATTTTGTCTTACCGACGTCTCCCCCCCTTGTTGCTGCTCCTTTACCAAACATCTGCATCCCCGGCCAGTTTCTCTGTAGCACCTGACAGGGGCGGCGGCTCTGCGGTGAGATCTGGAGCTCGGCCTTCCCGGTGTGTCAGCACAGCACGTCTGAGGAAAGCCCCCTCCCGCCCCCCGGGTCCTCTCGCCTTTATCAGACGGCACTGGGTGTGTTTACAGTGTAACACGCTCATTGATTTGAAGATAAAGGCTCACTGACACTCTTTGTAATCCCACGTTGCACAAGACATGCCTCAGGACCAGAGAGCCCCCCCCCCCCCCCCTGTCACTGATGCAGGGGGAAACTCAGTGAAAGCTCATTGAGACAGAGAGAAATCAGTATCCTGAGACCGGTCGGGGGCTTCACGGGGCCGGTCGAGTCTTCTAATACCACATATCACATCTAATCACGTGTTTTTGTCCCACTTCTTTTCCTTCACGCCTCAGGAGCAGAAGCCAACAACTGTTTCAAACACGCAGGACAGCGTTAGTTATTAAACAGCCCCCGAGTGGAGGTAGCAGTATCGGGTGACTCACCTGAGGCCTTGATGGAGGCATTTAGGACGAGGACCCACAGCAGGAGCGTTCCCTTCATTGTCCGAGTGCAGGCGGTGTCCCGGTACCAGAGCAGACCGGCGCGGCGATCAGGACTTTATGCTGCTGCTTCCTGCAGCCCATGTGAGGCCACACCTTCTCCTGGAGCTGTCACGGCTACTTCCTCACTGGCGACAGGTTCACAACACGCTCAAGACCGGCCCCAACACGCCCCCGTGCTTCTCTCACAAGAATGCAGGGCGGATGTCATACAGGAGCATTGTGGTTTCAGCTGCAGCCGCACACGGACTTGCAGACACTTCCACCTTTTGGTGCCCGTTCAAAATATTTTGCCGCTTCTTCTTTTTATTCCGAGCAGGCCGATTGCATCCTGTGTGGGGGCTGACTGACTCAGTGCTGAAGCCACATTGGGATTTCCACAAACAAACACACACACACACACACACACACACACAGACACACACAGTTGCCGCTTGTCACGCTGTCGTCACCAAATATCTCCAAATAAAGAGGTTTGTCCAAATAAAGGCACAAAGATTGATCTCCGATGTGCGAGTTGCGTCCATGCGTCTTCTCTCCTGCTCCTCCAGGCCTCACCCACCGGGCGCAGGGCCGGGGGGGTCAAGGGGGGGTCACAGCAGAGACAACGGGTCAGAAGACAATAAAGCCAATGTGTGCGCGCTGCCGCGGCGGCAGACAGAGGGACGTTTGAGGACACAGATGTGCGTTGGTGGAGCACAGTGGAGTTAAAGTAACATCTGTGTTATCTTTGGTGTAACGATATGGCCTCTGCGTGTCTCTGCGTCCTCGCTGTGTGAGGCGAGGGTTGATGTTGGGAAGCATAATGTAGGAAAGGCAATGTTATTCACAGTGAGA